TCAGCCCTCTGTGCAGGAGGTCCTTGTCTGTAAAGGGGTGATGCTCCTCCTTTCCCTTGGCCAGTCTGTCCTGACCAGTTTCCCAAAGCAAGTGGAAATGAGCATCAGAGACTGGAAAGGAAAAGCTCAAAAGCCCTATGTCACTGTTGTCTCTCTGCTCTTCAGCTCTTCTGCAGTCGGGGATAAAGCTGTGCCTTGTCCTCACTTTTAGGAAGCTCAACTGTCCCTGATTGGCACCCAAAATTCAGGCAGTGAAAAGAATTGGGGTGCCTGTGTCCATGCACACAGCTCTCCATTTTTAAGGAGAGGGGAAATTATGCAGATCGGATGCTGTGTCCCACCAACCTGCTGGAGAAAACCTTTCATGATCTGCCAATGCATGCTCAGACTCACAACAGCTTTTCCAAATGCCATCCAGCTTGGAGGCAATAGGGAAAGCTCAGCAAATAAACCTTCCTCGGGTGCCATGCTCATCCTCATGGCATCCCAGGGCCTCTTGGCAGCACTGTGATGTGTTGACTCATCCACTGGACATGTTGTTTGTTCTCTTCCTGCCAGGAGAAGCATGTGCATGGCTTGTTTCGGTAGGGTTGTTTGTCATGTTTTAATTATTTCTCAGTATTTGTGCATGAGGAGAGAGCTGGCAACAAAAGTGAGAGTGCGGGGAGATTCCCATGTGATTCCCATGATGTTCCCCCTCTTTTTGCTAATAAATGATGGAACTGCTCCAAAGGGTGAGGAAGACAATGGTGCATGAGCATGATCTGCTCTGTGCCATCCAGGGGATTATTTGTAGTAGATTTCTACTATTCCCTTGATAAAGAAAGTCTCATTTGCCACAAGTTTTTACTGGCACAAAATCAGCAGTGTGGTCCAAGGCACTTGGTGGCCAGAGCAGATCTGAGGAGCTCTTATCTGTGGAGCTCTTGGACCAGTCCTTGCCAGTTTGGTGTTGGGGATCATGGGAATTTTGTGCCATTCAGGGATGCCGCACAAGCCTGGCACCTTTGCTGCGATCAACAGGAGCACAGGAATTTATCCACAGCATCATGTGAAGATACAGGGAGCTGCAGCCCCAGCGTCTGCCTTCAGGCAGGGAAGGATGATGTTGCGGCTCCGGTGGAAAAGGATATTCAGAGCAACAGTTTCCAAAGGAGGCTGAGTTATTATTTTGTTCAGATAAGCCCAGGAACACTGTGTGAAGCTATGTACACATAGCAGTAGTTGAGTGCTCTGAGCAAGGGAATTCAGAACTGTCAACAAGGAGGGAATTACCGCTTTGGGGGATTGAAAACATTCATAAAAAATTCCTGGCTCCCAGCCTAGTCCATCCCATTGCTGGCTGCGCTCACAGTTGTGGGTTTTTACTTTGAGGATAGATTTCCAAGTTTTTTTCCTCACTTTGCTGTAACACATGGACAAAAAGATATATCTCAGCCTGAACTAGTGAGTTCCAAGCCCTCAGCCAAAGGCCACTGGCGTCATGGGGAATTGCAGAGCTGTGCTGGTTTGTCCCCACAGAGCTGCTGGCTTCTTGCAGGGACCAGTGCAACAGCTGCAGCCTGGGCCCAGCAAGATGTACTTGTGTAAATCATGCTGCTGACATTGGATTTTAACTTGTGGGCGTCCAACACTGCCTTTTCCAGACCGTGAGAGTTCAATTCCCCAAACTCAGAGGAAAACTGGCCAGGAAACATGGGGTTAAGATGACACTTCCCACATGGCCCCACTACATAACTTTAACTCTGTCCCCCCTGGGAGTGGCAGTAGGAACTGCACAGGATCTTATCCCTCCTTGGCTGTACTTGATACATTCCCTCAGCATAAACTCAAGATCCCAACATCAAGCCAAAGGATTAGAGGGTTACGTCTACGCTGTTAAATGATGGAGGGGCCTGGGTTTATCCATGGCCCCAAGCTGGATGGCCATGAGGGATTGAGAATCATCATTCTTTTTGACTTGTGGAGAGCTTGAGTTGAGTATCTTTGGTCATGATGTGGGTGGGACCGCTGCCTGGAGGCATCCAGATGGGATCCCATGGATTCTCTCAGAGCACTGCAGGGATGTGGGAAAGGAGTGTCTGTCCTCATTGCTTGGCAGCTGGGTGCTGCAGCATGGCAAGTTGAAGTGGCTTTGGGATCTCTGTCTCGTATTCATCCTCTGTGCCTTACCCTCATGGGGATATGTCTGCATTTAACTTGATGTGGTGTCCTGATTTTTCCCTTGACGTTTGCTAGTCTTCAAATACTATTTTTCTGCCATGATTTCCTTTCTTGCCCCCTTTCCTGCCCTCCAGCAGGACCCGCTGTCAGCGTGTGACCTGGACACATGAGCTGTCCTTTATTCTGGTGCCAAAAAACCCCACAACATAAAAAATCCAGACCAATCTTGGCAGTCTCCTTCAACAGGATTTATCTTCCCAGCCCTTGCAATACCCTCCCAGCCCTGCAAAGCAATCCATCTCTCACCTACTATTACAGAGTTCATCTCACAGACCTAATGGAGTACGTGAGTCCTGAATTGGCTCCCACTAATGCTCTCAGTGGCCGGGTCGCTGTGGGAAGCAAGCTGGGAATTCATTTTGAAAATCGATGAGGATGCCAATAGAGTGGCTTTCCCCAGGGAAGTGACATGCTTTTACCAGGCATTGCCTCCTGCCCCCCTTCCTCCCCCATTTTCATTTATGTGGTTGGAGTAACCGTGGAGTAATTCATCCTAATTTCAATGAGTGCATCTTTTGCACTGTGTTCTCCAGTTTCCCCAAACCAGACTGATTTTTGGGGAAAGATTAAGATCTGGCAGTGCAGAATGCCAGGGCTCCCTGAAGTGTTACCATTGGAAGTTGCTGTGCTCTGGGGTGTTGCTGGGGACTGTCTCCTCTGTGCAGCCCCATTTCTCCCCTCAGGCTGTGTTAGCACAAATAAATCAGTGTTATTTTCAACTCCTGGGTGTATTTTGCCTTGCCATGATATTTTGATGCAATGGCAAGTGCAGAGCCTGCAGGGATAGTGTGAGAGGACAGCTCAGAGCTATTGGAGGGACCCCAACACCGTGCAGTTCACAATTGTCCCCAGAGGTGACCTTCATGCTGGGATGGGAGCACAACACCAACCTGTCATCCTCACCATGCCCAAAGAGGCTTGGCCAAAGCACAGTGCCGTGGGCAATTTTGGTGCTGATTCGGGAGGTGGCAAGAGGGGGCTCCTGAGGGGCACTTCGGGTGCAGCACTCCTGTTTTTGATGGCAGTGTGGGTTTGGGATCTCTCATCCTGGTTGATCTCAAAGCACTCAATTTGGAATTTTCATAGCTCTCAAGACTCCTTTTCCAATGGGGATCATTCTGCACTGCTATGGGATAAATATTTAATAAGAATGAGGGTTAAGACACTGTTTTGTCCGGGGACACTGAGATGGCCATTTACTCCAATGAAGAGCCCCAGGGGATCTTTAATGCCCATGCAAAAAAGACAAGAATCAGAGTTTTAAGCTGTCATCCCCCACCATTAATGTCAATGTTAAATATCGATCCTTTCTGTGTTTAGCACAAACCAAACAACACAGTCAAGGCAGGCTCTTTGGCTTTTATTAATGTACTTTTTGTGCACTGAGTGAAGTTTGCAGTAACACCAGGGAAAAAATGTAGCAGCTGTGAATGAGCAGCAGACAGATTGATTTTGTATCTTGACATGATTCACAAGTTGGTGAAAAATCACCCTGTGTGGAGCTTCTCCTTGCCTGAGCCACTACAGCCACTTTGTAGAGAACTCATTTCTCTGTAGCATGAAGGAGTCAGGTGCAAAATTTCTGGTAGCGTCTGGAATTTGAGGGAAGGAATGGAAAAAAAGAGGTTGGTAATGTATAACAAGTCACTCATCCTTATGTTGGAGCATGGGTGCCTGAAGTCAAATCGGAAGAGCTGGTGAACATCATGTCAGGGAAACCTGAGATCCATCCCCAAATTAGTTGTGGCTAGAAAATGTGGGGATTTCCCCTTTTTGTTGGGTTTTTGGGTTTTTTCTGTGTTTTGTATCAGCACCAAATAAATGTAAATCACACTTACTATATGAAGTGTGACTTCTGCAAACCACAGTGAGTGGTTTTCACATGTCAGGAGTGCATGGATGGTCTTCTGTGTCTGTGGCCTTCTGCAACCAGAGATGGATCAGCATTTCCAAAATATTCTGCAGCTTGTGGGTTTCCTGGGTGTTTTGGTTTTGTTTTGGCTTTTTTTTTTTGGTTTTGTTTGGTTGTTTTTATTTTATGGGGATTTACAGCTTGGCTGTAAAATTTCATCTGTGGTTTGAATTAATGAAGCACACTTACGAGAGGGCTGGAGTGATTATTCCTGACCTCTGGGATACTCTCCATAGAAATTGATTTAATATTTTAAAGTCTGTTTCTCCTTGAGCAGGGGGAGTGGGCACTAAGAGTCATGTCTTGGGTCTGCATCCCTTTAAATTCACAGAAAACAGCAGCAACTCTCTTGAGATCACAAAATCAATACAGAATTTGGAAACATGAGAATATTTTTCATCTTCGCTGTCATTATGTCCATCTTGATTCCCACCCTATTCCTCAGTTAACCCAAGTGTAAAGGGATAGCAGTGATGCCCTTACACAGAGGGAGGGAGGTGACTTAAATCACATCTCACTGCGGTGTGAAAGCTCCTCTCTTTTAAATTAGGTTTTAACAACCCGCTGAGCTCCCCATGAAATAGGCTGACATCCTGCAGACATCCTAGCAAGCCACTAAGCATGTGACAAAGTATTATAAAATTAGGAAACGTGGTTTATGATAAAATATAATAAATATTTATTTCCTACATGGTACCTGTAGTTGCATCTGCTCTGAGTAGAGAAGCTGAGAGGATCCCTTGGAGCCGTGAGCAAACCACAGTGACCTCCATAATTCCAGAGCATTTATGAAAGGAAAGCCTGGGAAGGCGGGATGTGGGGTAGCTGTGTCTGACACTCACAGGTGTGTTTGCTCCCTGCACAGACACCCTGAGGAGCATCGCCTCCATGAACCACGGCCCGCGCTCCTCCCCGGCCGAGCTCAGCGGCGCCAGCCACCACCTGCTGCGAGAGCGCAAGTCCTCAGCGCCGTCCCACTCCAGCCAGCCCACCCTGTTCACCTTCGACTCGCCTGCCAGCCACCTCCAGAGCACCCTGTCTGCCAGTGCCCCCCAGGACTACCTTTTCCTGCACCAGTGCATGAGCAGAAAGTCAGAAAATGCGAGGTATTGTGGCCCACCCGCTCGGGGACAGCTGAGGGGAGGGCTGGGTGTGAGGGGCTCAACCCGCCTCCATCCTTGGAGTTCTGCAAAACCCATCTGGAGAGAAAGTCCTGAATGATGGTCTCATCTCATCATGGTTGGGAGGAGGTCAGAGTGGTGACCTCACAAACTCCCAGCTTTCCTGGCTTTTCAGGTGGTGTTAAAAGCTGGATGAAAGGCCAGACCCAGAGGGTGAGGGTCAGTGGCATGAAGTCTAGTTGGAGGCCAGTCCCTAGCGGTACCCCAGGGGTCAATACTGGGTCCCGTTCAAAGGGGCATGAAATTGCTGAGGGGCCTGGAGCAGCTTACTTAAATGGAAAGGCTGAGAGAGCTGGAACTGTTTCAGCTGGCACATGAAAAGTCCCAGGGGTATCTCCCCTGCAGGGACAGTGCAAAGGGGATGGAGCCAGGCTCTTGTAAGTGATCCCCAGTGCCAGGGACCCGAGGCCATGGGCACAAACTTAAACACAGGAGAGCCCATCTGAACATCAGAAGCATTTTTTTCACTGTGAGTATGACTGAACACTAGCACACGTAGCCCAGAGAAGTTTAGGAGTCTCCATCCTTGAAGATATTCAGAAGCTGTCTGGCACAGTCCTGCCACAGCCCTGCTTGAGGAAGGGTTTAGACCAGATCACTTCTACAGGTCCCTTCCAACCTTAACCACTTTAATGATCCTGCAGGCAGGGCCCTAATTCCAGAAATAACCAGAAAAAGGACAAACAAAGGGATGGGCAGGGTTTGCACCATCCCGCTGTTCATCCCTTGCAGAGCTCGCTGGCTTGGTGGCAGCTGGTGGTGCACAGTGTGGGATTCCTGAGCCAGCGACAGTCCCCGCCTCCAGACCCAGCCGGTTGCCTTAAATAGCGAGGAGTTTTTTTGACGTGGAGAGTTTTGGCTCGCAGGAGCAGGCAAGGAGGGAGGAAGGGAGGGAGAGACAGTCGGAACCCAGCTGGCGTGAGTGAGAGCAGAGCTCGGGCTGCATCCACTGGGCTTTCCTGCTGCAGCTGACTTTCCCTACTCAGAAAACAACAACGGAAAAAGGCTCAGAAAAATTAACTTCAGATAGAGTTAATGGAACAGTGGTTTAAAAAAATGGTCCTATCACACTCCAGCTGTGAGGATACCTAAAAGCCACTCTCTGGGAACCTGAACAGGGCTGGGACCTGGAGGAGAAGGGAGCAAGCACCAATGCTTTGGTGAGCAGAAACAAACCTGGCCAGTGGTAACTTCTGCAACTGGGACAGAAATAATGCTCTGATCAATGCCCAGTGCATGGGGTCAGGCTGCAGGACTGCTGGGAATCCCTCCCCTTTCTGCTCTGGAGCTCTTACTTTACTCATCCATAAAATGAGGGTAATAGTAGCTAATTGGCAGGCAGTGCAGAATAATTAACCCATGAGATGTTTCAAGTCGTCGACCAAAAATACCCTGACAGAACCCAAACCAATCCTGGGTGGGCTGAGGTCCAAAGGTGGCAGGGATTCATTTATCTTATCAGAGCATCAATTGCTTTTTCCTCTAAATAAACTCTATTTCTGAGCGCCATCTCGTGCTGGCTCCAGGAAACAGAGTCCCTGTTGTCCCTGCAGAGCATCAACCACACCAGAACAGTGTAAACCAGCATCTCCCAGCTTTTCCCAAAGGACTGGCACTTTCCCAGTGATTTGCCACAACTGGAAACTCTCCCCATAACCCTTTCACTTTTTGTCACCACAGTGATTGATACAGAGCAGAACTTTCTTCTGTGGGGGGGTGTTTACATGGGGCTGGCTGAGCCCTTTCTGACTGGGAGAGTGTGATCCCCAAAAGCCTGACCCATGTGAGGGATAAAGCAGGGATAAAACAGGAGATTAAGTACCCTGAGGGGAATCAGCAGAGCAGCAGTGGCTAGCCAGGAGTTGTTAGAGGCCTGAGATCTCTGTGTTTGGCCCCTGTTCTGACGAGTCCCTAGGCATGACCGCACGTCAATCGAGGAATCATTACCAAGGCATGGATCTAGTGACCACACTGCCCTTCTCACCCTGGACAACTCCAGGGCTTTTACAAATCTGAAATTAGCCTTGAGGTTCATTCCTCCCCCTGTGCACATCAGGACTGCAAACCGCAGATCCCAGCTGGGGACTTCTATTACCTCCCCAGTGCTTGTGCTGCAAGAGGGCAGGATGATGACATGGCTGGAGACCTTGAAATAATCCCCATCAGGAATTTTTTCAGGCCTTCACACATTTGCAAGGAGGAGGTGAGATGAAATCTCCCTCCTGAACTGCGGATGGGCAGTCGAGGCATGATGGCAATGCTGGCAGATTGACACTTGGCAGCTGTGCCCTGGGATGTTGTCAGCTGGTGGGAAAATTGCCCCTTATGTCTGGACAAAAGGCTCATTCTTGCTTATGGCCCTGTCATGGAGCTGGGTGCACGTACCTCTCACCTATGACAGAGACACTTTGATGGTGTTTCAGGATCAAGTGGCTTGTGGGCGTGTTTGGAGGGGTCTGAGGTGTTCTCATTGCTCTGGGGCTGGGCAGGGCAGGTCAGTAAGGTGACAGACAGGGGGAGCAGAGCTCCCAGAACCAGCTCTCCCCCCATTCCAGCCCCTTTCTCCTCTCCCTCTGCAGGAGTGCCAGCTTCTCCCAAGCCACCAGGTCTGCCTTCTTCATGCGGAGCGACTCGGCGGTGCAGAAGCTCTCGCAGGGCAACGGGCACTGCATGAACGGCGTTGGCGGGCAGCTCCACGGCTTTTACAGCCTGCCAAAACCCAGCCGGCACAACTCGGAGTTCAGGGACAGTGCCTACGACCTCCCGCGCTCCTTTGGCTCCTACACCCACCCCAAGTCGAGCCTCACCAGCTCCGAAACTGATAATGAGGAGGTCTACACCTACAAGACTCCCAACAACACCCTATGCAAGGAGTTTGGGGAGCTCTCCACGGACTCCTATGACATCCCTGCCACCCCACTCTCCATCTACCAGATCCCCAGGACATTTACACTGGACAAGAACCACAACGCTCTGGCTGTGGCCGCCAGCGACTCGCCCGCTGCGCCACCCCCACGGCCCCCGAAGCCTGGGCAGACAGAGCCACGCTGGGGCAGTCCACCCCAGCGGCCCCAGCCTGGTGAAAATCTAGGTCTCACCCCCATGGCAGCCACCATTCCCCGGAGAAACACGCTGCCAGCAGTGGAGAACAGCAGACTGCACCGAGGTGAATTTGGAGGTGGGGACTTGGGGGTGGCTTTGTGCTATCCAGCAGCCTTGGGTGGATCAGTCCCACTGGGTTGTGGTAGGGCTGGGATGCACATGGCACCAACCAGAACACAGAGAAACTCTGCTCAGCCAGGATCTGGCCCTGGTTTTTGTATTCAGCAGGCATGGAGAGGCATACACAGAGTTCTGCCCACCAGAGCTGCTCAGCTGGCTCTTGGCTGTGTTGTACCTTAAACCAAAACCCCAAATGAGATTGCTTATGCAGGCCTTTGCCAGATTTTTGTGATTTTGGCAATTTTTAGCTTACCTTTACTTTAACTCATGTCCAAGTTTATCAGAACATACTTCAGCTTGGAAGTATGCCTTGGTTTTGCTCACAAAGGTGGGTGAGCAAAACCTTGGTTTTGCATGTCTCCAAAATCCAGCAACCCTAAGTGCAGCAGAGCCACAATTGCCATTGGCCATGGGTGGGCTGTAGGTGTACGTGCCCTTTCCAAACCTCGTGCCTAGGATGAGATAGTTGCAAAGTAACTTAGAAAAGGTGGCTGGAGAGAAAATGCACTGTAAATTATACACACAGCTCTCTGAAATGCTTCTTCCATCTCCTGCTACCTAAATGCCCACCCTTAGGCTGAGATCGGCTGAGATCAGATTCATGCTCAGCAGTAAACAGACTGGTCTAAGAGCTTAGCACCCATCCTCCCCTTCCTGGAGGCTGCCAGCCTCTAAATTTACTGAGCAAGCTCTAACAGAGCTTCCCCATAACCCAGTTTTGTCACCATGATCTGCCTTATCTGACACCTTTACCCCTGGGATTTTGCAGCACTTCAGCAGAACAGGGTTAGGTCTGCACAGCACATGCAGTTGTGCTGGTGCATCAAAGAGATGCTAATTGGAAAGGAGCATAGCAGAGAGACAGCCTGTGACAAGCTAAAGACCACATCTTCTCATCAGCATCTCAATCAACAAGAACAGATACTGCCCTACCAGTGCCTGGATTTTGTTTTCAGGGACCCCTTTTTGTTATCAGCTATGGTGGGACCCATGCATTTGTGGTTGTGTTGCAGCTTCTTCCTGTGAGACGTACGAGTACCCCCAGCACGGGGGCGGCAGCGCTGTGCAGTCAGTGGACTCCATGAACGATGGATACCACTCCTACCTGGTGAGTTGGCCTTGGTGTGGCCACCACACTTCAGGCACCACTTGCACCTTACAGATTCAGAGACAGGTTGGTTCCAAGCTGGCCCTCACAGCCCAGTCCTGCAGAGCTAAGTCAAGAAGAGGTCTGTTAATGGTTTCTGTTTAAACCATGGTGAGCTGCAGAGAACAGATGGGGCGGCAACCATCTAACCCAGCATGATGTGCAGAGCTTTGCTTACACACAGCATATCTGCCTGCAGCTTTGGCCCAAAAGAATCTACCCAAGAGTTTGCCTTCTTCCTGAAAGCCTGGGATGCCGCTGAGCTAAATTTTGACATGTAGCCAGAACAGTCTCTTTTGTGTGCACTTTCTAACATTTCCTGAACTGGAAATGACATTAAAGCAACCTTTCATATTCCGTTTTAGTGACAGACACAGCCTAGGGAAGAAAGACTTTCCAGGTTAAGCATGCTTCTCCAGCTCACTCTGATCATGAGAAGATGCTCAGGTCTGGGTGATAAAGACCTTTCTGAAAACTCAGGATGTTGCAATGTCTTGGAAACAAAGGAGGTAGACCCTCTCAGTGCAAACTGATGTCCAAGGAGGGGACAGATCATTCCTTCCCTTTGTGCTTGGATTTTAGAGTGAGTCTCCCCTCAGATGTTGTTTGGTTATGATGAAATGAAGGGTTTGTAGTGGATGGGGTTGAGCAGTGCCTGATGCTCACAGTGCCTGATCCTTCCCCAGCAGGCCAAGGCAGCGGTGGCCCGCTCCCACAGCACCGACTCCGAGGACAACTATGTCCCCATGAACCCCGGTTCCTCGCCCCTAATTCACGCCGAGAAAGCCAACGACAATGCCCAAAGTCTCTACATCCCCATGAGCCCTGGGCCGCATCACTTTGACCTGGTGGGCTTGTCCTCGGCCACCCTTCCCGTGCATAAAGGAGGAGCTGTGGCCCAGTGCCACCGGCGGCTGAGTGAAATCCAGCCCCCGCCAGTCAACCGCAACCTCAAACCCGACCGGAAAGGTAAGAACATTTGGCTGTGCACAAATCTTCCCAGGAATCCTTCTGTTCTCCTAATACTTCAGACTACATCTGTGAAGTTGTGTCCAGTCCCAGGTGGGGTGTGCTTTGCTACTTCCAGCACAGTCAGACCTTCAGATGCCCCCCATCCCCTTCCTCTTTCAGAAGCTCTGTAGTGCAAATGTAGCTTTCTTGGTGCTTGAACAGTCCATCTCAAACCCTTCCAGACCTTTACAGGAGATGCATTTCACAAGCAGGATTTCACCCCCTTGGCCTGCACCCCTCCCTGTGCTCCGCCCCAAAATCTCAATGTTGTATTCAGATGACACAAGTTTTTCCTACAGTTTCCTGCTGGCTGGTTCCAGGCAGTTCTTCCTTCAGGGCTCTGCTGACATTCTCCAAATCTCTCCCTAATCCATTGTCTGACCAGTGGCCAAGGAGATCCTGAGGAGGAGGGCTCCCATCTCTAGGGTGTCAACACCTAACCCCATGAACACTCCATTCAAGGGTTGGGGTTGGAGCGTAGAACTCTTCCACCTTTTGAACCATCCATGATGAGAAGGGCTTTCATCTGCTGCCCTGCAGATGTCCTTTTCCATTCCCTATGGGAAAACACTCCACACAGAGGTAGTTCAGGCCTGGCAGAGCCTGGTCTTGTCCCCATCTAATGCATTAGTTACCATAGATATCTAATGAGTGGTTTTGGGGTTTGGGCATTTTAAGCAGATCTCTATTCCCTGGAAGGCACGTCCCCCTTTTGGGACTACCCATCCACTTTGGGGCTGTGAAGCAGGGGGAGAAATTCACTGTTTTCACACAGTTCTGGCATAAATGAGCACAGGGGTTTTGGTTTGGAGTATTTGTCATCAGCAGGGAAGGCTGGGGGGCTGATTAGTAGAATGGGAAGTAATCAACCATCTCTTGGGGGCACTTTCATGCCAGTCATGGATGCTGAATTGTAGGGACATGCTGCCTCTGAATAAAGGCTTTTCCCCTCCCCAGCAAAGCCATCACCGCTGGACCTGAGGAACAACACTGTCATTGATGAGCTTCCCTTCAAATCGCCAGTCACAAAATCCTGGTCCAGGCCAACGTGAGTAATGCTGGGGGATGATTTCTTGCTTTGTTCCAACAGCAGCTCTCTGGTCTCATTCCTACTGACATTCACAGGTTGCCATGCTGTCACCTCTGCCATGGATTAAACATTCCCCACATCACAGCTGGTGGCAGGAAGGTAAATTCATTTAGGTTGGAATTTCACATGAAAGCCCAGCATGTGGCTAACAAGATAATTAAGATCCCTTGAAGACATTTCCTGTTTCTGGGATCTGACAACTACTGGAGAGCCGTGGCTCTGACCTGGGACCTGTGGTCTGCCAGGATTCATGATTCAGCTGAACCAGACCAACTGAGCCACGCTGTGTGGGGGGCATGATTTCACATCCAAGCTATTCCCCCCCAAACCCCACTGTCATCTAAAAGCACAGGGTGACTCTCAGGGTCTGACCAAGCTGTGTTTTGATTGCCTTGAAAGCAAAGCTTAGCCTGAAGGAAGTCTGCAAAATTAAACCAAAGCACTTCAGAGCTATGTCTGCCAGCCAAAAATAACAGGATTCGCACAATTCCAGCTCTGCTACTAATTCACGGTCTGATGTTGACCAGTAAAAGGCAGAAGCAAAGCTTGGCTGCTATGACTCCTCTAATAAATTGGATTGTGTGGAGACTGACTGCAGGGCATGAACGCTGTGTGCTGAAATCACTGCACTGGGAAGCAGCAAGCAGGGTTTGATTGACAAGAGGTCTGACCCTGGAGAAGCTAATGGATTTTTCCCCTATCAGCTAATCATATGACCCTGCTTTACTGAAAGGCAACAAATAGCTTTTTGAGACACGTGCTTTAATGCCAGAAGCTGATTTCATTATTTTGTTTGGTATAATTAGATTTGGCCAATTGAAAGAAAGACAATTCCTCAGAGGATTTATTTTCCTGCAAAAAATTTGGATAGGGCCTGTATGGTAAACAAATCCTGTTGCTGTGGTGGGGCTGGAGGTGAGAGGCTTCACCAAGGCTGCCCCTCCATCCTCCACAATTAAATGTTTCCTGAGAGATGGAGTTAGTGGAATCTGATTTGTGTAGATGAGAGCAGGAGAGTTATAAGTACATAGAAAGCAAGGTGTTAACTAAAAAATTCTAGAAAGAAAAAATTGAGAAGACCAAACCCAAGGATTTCCAACCAATGGAAAGGGCAGGCTGGAGAACCTCAATGCCACCAGCTCTTCCTCATGCCCAGACTGGGTCACGATGATGGTTGCAGGCATCAGGAGCTGCCCTCTCCCACCTCCATGGCAAAGGACAAGCAGGACCCGCAGCCCTCAGTAACACCTCACCCCTGTGCTTGCAGGCAGACCTTCAACGCCGGCTCTCTGCAGTACTGTCGCCCTGTCTCCTCCCAGAGCATCACCAGCACTGACTCGGGAGAGAGCGAGGAGAACTACGTGGCCATGGTAAGGGCCCACAGCTAAGATAGATGGTTCTGGCAGGACATACAATCTCCCCAGCTCTGCAGATGCATTCCTAGCTCGTGACAGGGAAGTGCTCAGATAGCACAGTGTGGAGTACATCCTTATGTGCATCCCTCAATGCACAAAACAGGGTGTTTCCTTCTGAAAACAGCGTGTCTCATTGGAGTTTTAAATGTGTATGAGGGCAGAAACATGTATCACTCACTTTGCCAGGAATTAAGAGGGATTTAAAAATTTATACAGACTGTCAGGGTGTATTTTCCTAATTAAGGTTGATTTTTTGAATTTTTTTCCCCTAATAGCTGCTGACATCATCTTTCTGTGGGAGCAGGGGCTATCAGAGCAGAAGCAGGGTGTGGCACTGCTTACAGGGAGGGGATTTGGTCTGCTTTGGTGAAGCTACTGACTTGAAGCATATTTTTGAGGCTATGTAACTAATGGGGTAGAGGAAATCTGTGCTCTGTGCAGCATGGTTGTGATTAGCAAAGATCCCAGAGCTGGCCTGGCCTTGCTGAGGTGTGGTTCTAGGGACATGTTAAAGCTCACGTCTGCTGTCAGGCATGTGAATAAAATCAGCACAAAGGCAGCAGAGCTGCTCTGATACGTGAAATCAAGAGCATGAGACTTGAAATATTTGTTAGCACAATATACAGCATTTATAGTATCCCAGCAGTTCTTGCACATCCTTGTCCCAGAGGCAGGTGAGCAAATAACCAGGCTCTTTTAAAGGTGTCTCCAACATGTTTCATTTCTGGATTTGTGTTAATTTCCTTTTTTCTTTCTTCCTTCCCACTTTAATCCTCATTATCTCTCCTGTCTCTTCCCTGCATTAGCAAAACCCCATTTCTGCTTCTCCTGTTCCTAGTGGTACCAACAGCCCAGCGCCTAAAAAGAGTTCGGGGAGTGTGGATTACCTGGCCCTGGACTTCCAGCCAAGCTCACCAGGGCCACACAGGAAGGTATGGGGGATTTTTTAAACTTCTGATTAAAAGTGATGCATTTTTAAGGGGTTCTATGCACATTGGCAACAGCATGGTACAAAGCCCAGACTGTGGTCTCGGGAATCTCTGATGCTCAGAGGGCTGGAGCACCTCTACAATGGAGGCAGGCTGAGAGAGGTGGGATTGTTCAACCTGGAGAAGAAAAGGCTCCAAGGAGACCTTGAACCATTTTCCAGTGCCTAAAGGGGCTACAGGAGAGGTGGAGAGAGACTTTTGACAAGGGTATACAGTGACACTAAAGAGGTAATGGCTTCCCACTGTCAGAGAGCAGGTTTAGATTAGATATTAGAAAGAAATTATTTACTCTGTCAGTAGTGAGGCACTTGAACAGACTGCTCGAAGAAGCTTTGGTTGCCACATCCCTGGAAGTCTTCAAGGCCAGGTTGGATGGGGCTTAGAGCAACCTGGTCTAGTGGAAAGTGTTTCTGCCCATGGCATGGTTGAAATGAGATGATCTTTAAGGTCCCTTCCAACCGAAACCATTCTGTGACCCACTGCTATATTTGCTCTAGGTCAAACTCAGTCTCTCTTGCATGTCTGCAGCTTTGCTGGCAGTGCAAAGCAGAAGCATGGATGTGCAGGGTTCAGGGATGCTAATGAGACCACAAACTCAGCTGGAGACTATACATTGAAAAGCTGTCAGGAGGTATCCCAAGATGTATCAGAATTAGTTTTTTCCTCCTTCAAAACAACAGCTCCTCCAAGATCAGACTTGGATTTTGCACCTGAACGGTGAAGGACTAGGGTTGTATAAACATTCATGGCAACCATTTGTGAGTTGGCCTCACTTTCTCAAACATCACCTTGTTTCCCAGGCAAAGCATCCCACTGGTTAGGTCCTTTTATTATTTGACAGTTGTCCCTTGATGGTTTCTTTCTGCCCAGCAATATTTCTGCAAGTATCACCCATTTAAATTATATTCCATTCTGGAAAAGTGATTTTAGACCACTAAAAAGCATGATCTGGCTCCAGTTACAAGGAGATGGAGGTCCTGTGAAATGCTTGTAAAGTCAGAAAAAGCTTCAAGACTCCAGGAGTTATGGTAAAAAGTATCTCCTTGTTCTCAACACATCTCTTGGGAGACCCTGCAAACATATCTGTTGTTTGGGGATGAAAATGAGCTAGTGCTATAGGTGGGTAGAGTCAGCACAGCTAAAAGGTATAGAGCTGGCATTTCTATGTGTATCTCTAAGAGTTCTGAAGTTCTTTACAGGAAAACGAGCAAAATGCAAGGCTGAACTCAAAAAGTCAGCAGTTACAGAACACAATTGCAACCAAACATTCATGTCCCAAAGTTTGTGAGAAGGTAGAGACCCACATGCTGTTTCTACCCTCCCATTGCACTGCAGTCTCATGCCAGCAAGAGGCAGAGCAGATTGAAATCCTTCATCCTCATGTCTTTGGGAGGTTCGAGGGAGGGTGACGAGCTGTGAGGTCTTCAGGAAAGCAGGAATGGTGCTGGTGGGCTTGTGGCACCTGCTGCAGGAAGGAGTGAGAGGGAAGAGCAGGGAGCTGATGAGTGACCAGACGGTGCCCTGTTTCTCCTCCCCACAGCCCTCCACCTCGTCGGTCGCCTCAGATGAGAAGGTTGATTACGTGCAAGTGGACAAGGAGAAGACACAGGCGCTGCAGAGCACCATGCAGGAGTGGACTGATGTGCGGCAGTCCTCGGAGCCTGCCAAGAGCATGAAGCAGTAGTGCCTGCGGCAGGCAGCAAAACAGGAAAATGTCCTGTTGGTTTTCCCCAGCTGCTGGGGTGCCAGACCCACTTGGGCTGGATTTCTAAGACTTCTCTGTGAAGGGGAGGGGGTGTCATTGGTTTGTTTTTTTCTCTTAAAACAAAACAAAACTTAATTTCAGGGGAAGACTTGGCGGATACTGTTTGCCAGTGATAAAGACCAACTATGTTTGGTGGATAGGTTTGTGCTTTAGCTGCTGGATGCACTGTCCAGGAACTTTGACTTAGCAATACCAGGTTTCACCCTACTCATCTTTTCCTTACAGCTATTAAAGCCACCTTGTATATTCTAACACTGCATCATCTCTCCCCGTCTTCTTCCATATCGTACCCTAAACCATGCCACGCAGGTTTGCAGCATCTCCCAAAGGATATCATTGCCCAGCTCTGATTCTCCACTCCTTATCGTTGTCCTCTTCTCTGCTTCCTCCCAGTCCCAAAACTGAGCAAGGACCATTGCTTTTGAAATCACTTTTGTTGTCCTGTCTCTTGTAAATAATATGTTCAAAACCTCTGAGGGCTGTTCTCCTCTTGGCTGGACAGCCCCCAAGGTTTTGGTTGGGGTTGATAACCTTCAGGAGCTTGACACACTATCCCCACCATCCCATTGAGCTGACTTAGAACTCCAGGACTTGCCCCATCGTATACACACATACATGTCAGCATATGCTCTCATGAGTTTGTTTGGGTTCTTCTGTTTGTATTCTGCATTAACTCTCAGAGTGAACGGGCTGGAGAGAATGGTTTTGGAAGGGGCTGGAGGGATTGGCTTTGGAAGGTAGAATTTAAGCACTGACCCACTGCCTATCCGAAACCAATTCCTGTGAATCTGACCCTAAAAACCACAGTTTGCCTTTTGTGGCACCAGAAGAAGCCCATAGAGTGAGAGTCCTACATCATGGACATTGTGAGAAGCCCTGTGGTTGAGTATGAGGGGGCAGGGAGGCTCTGAAGACCCTGTGTGTGGACTGGCATAAGGATGAGTGACAAGAAGGGAGTGGGAGGCTGCTGTGAGGACTGGGAGAAGGCAGATGGTGTACTGCAGAGATTGGTCCTGGGTGAGGAGGTTCGGTGGAATGTTTCTTGGAAGAAAGAAGAAGAATAATTGAAATGTTGGTTGATGGTGAGGTCATAGGCTTGGGAAGAGGTTGGTCAGGAGAGTCAGGGCAGGGTGTTTCAGTAGGAGCTTTAACGTAGCATTGTGGTTGGTTTGTGGAGGGTGCAAAAGGCTGAACTGTTTTCCCCTCATCTTCAGCAATGTTTCTTCAACACAACACTGGGGCTTGCTGACATTAATGGCCCTAGGCTCTAATTATGGGTGGGAGTCTGCTGTAGTCCCTTGCCAGCATCCTTAACACATCCAGGCTTTGGGATTGCTCGCCAGGCAGATGCTGAGCACAGAGAGAAGAGAAGGATGAGACAGTTTAATGCAGAGATAATAATTCATGATCTCATGAAAACAGGAAGGACTAATGATTGCCATGGAGCAGCCTGATTGCCAGACAGCAAGCGCTGACACGAATAAACAGGCTGACCGCAAACCAAGAGCCAAATCAAGGAGACATCAGAAAGATTAGGTAATAATATTTATTAAAGAGCTGGAGCTATTCTTTCTGCGAGCTGAACCCCTCCCAGCACCGTGGGCTCTGTGTTCCACCAACATCACCAAGCTGTATTGATTATTAATGCTTTAGCATTAACACATTTGCTTAATCTTGGTCTGAGCTTGGAAAGGGCCAGACGTGACCCACATGGGGATAGGATTCCAGTCCCTTAAGGGCTGTGTGCTGGTAAAATAATTCTTGAACTTTCAGCACCATTTTGTGTTTTCTTCTTGCATGCCATGAAAGGGAAGGATGCTAATGAAAAGCTCTGATAACCCTGTTGAGACATTGAAGTGTTGGACGTTTATAGAAACAAGGAAGCAAATACCCTAATGTTTATGTTAATAATTATAATTACTAGAAGGGAAGAAACCTCAAAGCCCCAAAGGGGAAAATTTAGCAGAGTCAGATGCTTTCTAAAGGTCACGGGGGGTGTTATACCCTGCAAGGGCCATTGCCTCCTGCTGGAGGCTTGCACACTTGCCTGGTGAGTTGACAAAATGAAGACTAGAATGCAGTACTTTGTATTTCTATTGCCCCTTTCATCTCTGCATCTCAGGGGAGACTAAACATTGGGCCTGATCCAGAGCCCACTGAAGTGTGCATTCACCCATCTGGGAGAGAGCTCCCCATCCCCACCAAAAAGAATGTCACTCTTCTGGGAAGCTGATTTTTCCCATTTCTTCTTCAAAGCTGTTAGTTTAAGTGGCTTAAGAGAGAACACATTGGGTTTGAGTGCAAGTTGATGAGTGGGTGCCCTGTGCTTCTGCACTGGGACTAGGTGCCTCCAGTGCCCACTCCCACATTTAATCCAAGGGGTTAATTAGGACTGGAAAAGCCTTTTGTGGTACTGGAGAAACTTGACCTTTTTCTCCATGTTTCACAAATGTCTTTGTTCATGGGGCAACCACTGGCACGGGATAGCTCTTTTCCCAGGCTCAGACCCTGTGTTTTGATAATTTCCTCTCATGAGCATCCCTAGTAACTGGTTCATTGCATTTGGCAGACCAAGGACCAAAATGGCCCAAAAGCAGCTACTTAACAACTGCTGGTTGCTGGCCCCTCTCTGCTTTGCAGTGAAGTCTGTGTTTTCACTGAAAAAGATACATTCCTCTACCTTTTGCCCTGCAAAGCACCAAGCAAACAGCACCACCAAACTAAGCAGAGGGCCACAGACTCTGTGCCATATAGACATGACTGTATCAACCCCTCCTGAAAGCATTAAGTAATCAGTGGCTTCAGTGGAAATAGTCACCCATGACGATTGCCAAGCTGATTACAGCAGTCCCTGGTGATTAATGTTTGTGCAGTATTTAGTCTTAAACCATATTGAAAAGCAGCTGCTTTAATTACACAGACCGCCAAGAACTTTGTCCTGAAGGCATTGAGTTTATCACATCCACTTTATACTTGGATTCTCAAGTATGACAGGCCCCTTTGTTAGAAATAGGTATTTAAGGAAACTGAGAACATTGCAAATTATTCATTTTAATTGAAATTAAACTGGCTTGAGCCTTCACGTCAGAGCCTGCTCTACAGCTCTGTGGTTTGATTTAGAAAAGGGATGTGCTTGCATGTGTGTGTGCTCATGGAGAGGGGTTGTCTGTGGGACAAACACCATGACCTCAATATTTAGTTTTATGAAGCACTGGGTCCATGGCTCAAAGCTTTCCCCAAGCTTGAAAATGACTAAGCAGGTGGTTTTAAAGGCAAAAGTCTCCAAGAGTGTGTATCCCTTGCTGTGAGTATGCAAATGCTGCTCATCATTCCTCTGCCTGGTGAGATGTGTGAGCTGCCTTGGAGCTGATTTGCTCTGAACTGGCATTTGAGTGTTCAGTGGGAAATACATTTCCAGCTCTAAATAGATGCCAGGCTTAGGCTTAGTCTCAAGCTGGTGAAAGAGAATAATGTGTGAGCGCAGAGAGTGCCAGGGCAAAGCTGAGAGTCTGGCAAAGAGGGCCAAATGCAGAATCAGAACCAAAAGATAGGAAAGGCTTGGCTTGTCTAGGAGCTAACTGGAATGGATTTGAACTCTGGGCCACCAGCCACTGGCAAGGGTGAGATATGAGAGAACATGAGGTTGGGACGAGAGAAGGCAGGGGAGTTTGCCAGTAAGGTTTGGGTCTTGGTCCTCACCGTGTGCTCCTTTGGCCTGTGTTTTTGGGTCAGATGTGCAGAGATTTGTGGGTTGTGAAATGCTCAGTAGAAGCTGGTGGGACAGGAGCTTCCACCACTCTCAGGCACTTCACTCTCAAGGGGGTCATCCTGCCTGACAACGTGATGCCTGTGCTCTGGCATTCAGGAATGCTTGGGCCCTTTACCCAGCTCTGAGCTGGGCAGGAGAAACCCTACAAGAAATGTGTGGGGACCAGGACATCCTGAGAGACACCTTGCTGAGGGTCCCATGAGCTGTTCCTGGGGCAGCAGTGCCACGGTTTCACAGGGTTCTCCCTGGAGATGCCATCTTCATCCCTGAAGTTTTTCAAGATCAGTCTAGGTGAACCCCACAGCTGACCCTGCTTGGAGCATCTCTTCCACACTGAGACCATGTGCTGCTGGGGTTGAGTGGAGACCCCTCCATGTGAGGGAGGGGGCCCAGGGGGTTGCTTGGAGCCCTGTAACATCCAAAACACTTCTCTGGCCATGAAGCCAAGTGGCAAGGCACACAGCTCAACCCCTAAGGCCATACTCCCCAGTAAGAAGACCTAATCCACACTGGGCCATCCCTTGCACCTGGGAAAGGGCTGGATGGCCCAGAACAAGTCATCCAGGACATGGACAGGCAGTTCTAGCAACTGTGAGACAGCTTGAACCTGTAAATTTGTCAGGCTAGATCCAGACCTCTCAGCAAACCCATGCCATCTCCACACCCTGGCATACCAGCAAGTGTTGGCTTGTTTTGGCTATCCAATGATCCTGGCTCCTTGGGTGGGAAGGGGGGTACAGCCACGTCCAGGTCTTATGGAAGTTGTTAAAATAGTTCCCAGGTGTTTTCTGAACTTTCTGGCCCAGGAGGCAAGTAAAAGGGTGGTTTTCTCAAGTTGTGCTTGCATTGTGTTGGTGTTCTCCCACCTGGTGATGTAAAAGTTCCATTCCATGTAAAAGCTGACACCCACAGTGCGTGTGCCATTGGAGGGATGCTGTCTAGGTGAGATGGATGCAGCAGAACTGTGAGTATGAAGAAGCCCAAGTTCTACAGGAAGGAGGAAGAGCAAAGCCTAACTTTGGCACCAGCCAGAGAACACACATGGCTGTCAAAGAACCATCAAAAAAATCAGAGGGACCAGTTCAGCATCAAATCACAAGAGCCAATAAGCCAGTTTAGGGCCTCTGATGAGTCTGAGTGCCTCTCTTCTCTGCCCAGCCTTCCCACATGTACATAATGATCTTGCAGCTGTTAATGA